CTTGCACAATGTTATAGGAATCGAAGACTCAAGGTGTTTAAGCACATCTACACTTAGTTCCCTTGAACACAACTCTCTAAAATATATGCACAATTCTGTGATGGCATCATAGACACTTGGACGAACAATTCCACGTAAAGCAAGAGGAAGGAGACGCTCCAAGATAATATGGGAATCATGGCTCTTTAGACCAAATATCTTTCGATCTTTCAGCCTCACACAATTTGAAATATTCGAGGAAAACCCATCTGGAACTTTTACTTTCTTCAAAAATGTACACAACCTCTTATTTTCTTCTTTAAGCAAACTGTAACATGCAGGTGGCAATTTCCATTTCCCATCTTCCTCCACCGGATGCAACTTTCTTCGTATTTTCATATGCTCCAAATCGCGCCGAGCATTCAGACCGTCCTTTGTTTTCCCTTCAATGTCAAGTAGAGTGCCAATAATATTATCACATACATTCTTCTCGATGTGCATTACATCAAGATTATGGCGCAACAAAATCTTCTTCCAATAAGGCAATTGGAAAAATATACTTTTCTTCTTCCAATTCAAATACTTTTGACGATCATATTTTGTAATCTTCTTATTCTCACCTTTTCCGAACTCATCGAATACAAGCCCTTCATGTTGTTTCAGCACCTGGTCACCAAATAATTGTGTTGGAGGAGATCTTTTTTCTACCTTTCCATCAAATGAGCACTTATTATGGTGCCATTTATGATCAGAAGGTAAAAACCGTCTAGCACCCATGTAAGAAAACTTACACCCTTTTTTTCAATCTAACGGAATGAGTCTCCTTATTGCATGAAGGACATGCTAATGCTCCCTTTGTACTCCATCCTGATAAGTTTGCATAAGCGGGAAAGTCATTAATCGTCCATAATAATGCTGCACGCATGCGGAATGTTTCTTTCTTTGAAGCATCAAATGTATCAACACCATAATACCATAATTCTTTAAGCTCTACCAAAGGCTGCAAGTATACGTCAATATCATTTCCTGGAGCTCTAGGACCAGGTATCAACAACGACATCATGCAATAGGATTGTTTCATACACATCCAAGGAGGTAGGTTATATGCAGTGACAATAACTGGCCAAGTACTATGAGAGCTGTCCATGTATGGGCAAATTCTTGTAGTGTGTGTGTCATCAAGTCGACCTACTGTCGAAAGAGGTACACTAGTTGTCTTAAGTGGTAGACCGCTTGGTGTAAATGGTAAACCATTTTCTTGAAAAGTCTTCAAATGGTCGACCTATTACATCAAGTGGTCTACCATGTTTCAACCACTTGGTGGAAGCGGTAAACCATTTTCTTGAGGGTAAGTGGATCATCAGGTCGACCACTTGGTGGAAGCGGTAGACCATTTTCTTGACAAGTGGTCGACCACTTAACATAGGAGGTCAACCGTTTTCTTCAAATTACGTTTATGTGCATGTCACCGTAGGCATATCCAAAAGTGAATATAATCCTTATACATTGTTTCTTTTAGGATATTCTTATGTAATCAGTTAATTATTTTTAAAATATTAATATAAAAATAAATTAATTTTGAAGGTATGAAAATATTGAAAAACATACTACATATTAAAATGCATGATAATTTTTTCTCAGAATATACTCATTTTTTTAGCATAACATAGTAGAAAATTAAGTCATACCGTTATAATAATAACAATTTTTTTCTTATTATTATTCTTTTTTATTTTGTGATATTGTACTAATAACTCCCCCACCCAATCTCAAATCATGACTATGCCATATTAATATTCTTATCCGAGAGAAATTTAAAAATGCTTTGTAGTATCGGTGTTCTTATTAAAGAACAACCTTTATGGTACAAATTAAATTTGTATCTTTAACCTTATGATACAAATTTATCAGTTTGTACTTATGTATTTTCATATAAATTTCTTTATTTAATTAATTGAATTTGTACCTTTAACATTATAGTAGCACTAATTCAGTTTGTACTTATATATTTTCTTATAATTTTCTTTTATGATACAAACTTAACTAGTACCTTTAACATTTTAATACAAGTGCAGTTTAACCTATGTATTTTCGTACAAATTCTTTGAAGCATAGTAGTTGTGCCCTTAGCGGATACATTTGCCTTTGGAATTGTTTGGATGCTGATTTTATATGAGAAATTTCAGTGAAACACATGTTTGTTGTAATATATATTATCAATATCATATTATAATCTTTCTACTTTGATAAGACTAACAACAAAACCACACCATTGTAATTTCAAGATATGATAATATAATGATATGACAATGATTGATGGCGTAAATTCTTTTTTTTTTCCTTCTAAAAAACAGACTTCATACAAGCTTATCACAGTATACAAACATCATACCACTATGGTAAGATATTTCGATGGTAGCACACGTACCGCCATAGCATTATCTTGATGGACATCCTCATTGTCAGGGGATGGTCACATCGACCACCAATTTGATCCTTAGATAATTCATCTACACTAAACATGCCAACCGCGCAAATCCTCAACCTCCTCAATGAAACCCTAACTAGGCAATCAAAGATATAGCATACAGAGACAAGTTCAAAGCATAATTAACATAGATAAATGCATAAAAACACTAGGCAAAGTTATTCCATTCACAAATCCTAACTAAATTCCTTGTACATAATGAAACCTAAAGCTAGATTTTGGGGGAATAAGTCTCTAGTACCTTGAGTAACTACTCCATAAAGGGGAAGAAAACTAGAGATGAGGGATTGGTGGAAAACCTTTCCTTTTTGGCTCCTACTCCTTCTTCTCCTTATCTTCTTCTTCTTCCTTCAACTTCTCTCTCTAAAACCTTAAATTTAACCAAGTGTCTGAACTCCCTTTGCAAAGAGGAAGGGATCCTCTATTTATAGACTTCAGGAGGACGGACAATATGGCGGGCGTGAAATTCAGGGATGAGGCTGCGATCTTGAAACTCAGCATTTTCTCTCATCTGGATCAAGATTTCATGGCCTGACTTCAAAGTCACGATCCGAAAGTCACGGGCACGGTCTTGAAAAATGGAGGCTACGACTCGACTCTAATCGATTATCGAAACCTTATGTCCATTCTTTGGTTGTTGCTTCCTCAAGTTCACAGCTAGCACCTCCTAGATCGCGAGCATGATCTTTGCTCCAGAGGCCATGATCTTTTACTTGACTTTGTAGGCTACTCTTGTTAGTCGTGATCTCCGCTAGCTCTTCTGTCCTGATCTCCTTGTTTTGCAACTTATCCTACACTTGTGTCGCATTTTTGTGCCTAAAACGCAAGTATCGTCCAATGCACCTTAAGATGACATGAAATATTCCAAGGAACGGATCCGGGATGCAATTGACGATATATTAACAATAGAGACCGTAGAATGACCTGAGAATACCTAAAATGGCTAAATAACACCAATTTGAGTATTATCATATACGAATTTGTACAGGGTGCTAAATATATCGAAAGCTTATATTATTTTGTAGATGAGAACCAAAAAATTTGTTCTTATGCGCATAAAATTTCAAAAGTAGAGTTAAAACAAAGGGTTTAACGGGTGGTAATGTTTGGTCCGAAAATTTTCTCACTCACATGTATAAAATAGATACTGGTTTGTAAATTATAATGAACATGGTCCTTTTGTAAATCTTTTTCTTCTATTTCGAAATTTGAGTTAAAATGAAAGAGACATAAATAATTATTTCAAGTAGGAGAATTTAAAAGGCTTTTACATACCGTTTGGTATAAATGAATTCCATAAGTTTTGAAAAATTCATTTTGAAATGAAGCATTTTTGTGTTTAGTATTTAAAAGAATTCATTTTCAATTCTAAATTTTGAATTCTATGAAATTGAAACTAGTTATAGCAATTCTGAGGAATTGAGATGGAATTTCCAAATGAACTCCACAAGTATTTAGTAATTGTAATAGAATGATATAATTATCTTTTTTTTATTAACAAAATTACTTATAGATATGACATACCAAACATAGGAATTCAGTTGACAATGAAATCTGCACGATAATTCATTTTATTTCTAAGGATTTGAACATGACATACCAAACACAAGATTTCATTTGACAATAAATTATGCACTACAATTCATTTTACAATGAAATGAATTCTCGATTCATTATCTCAACCATCATATATATGATCACTTGAAAAAAATATCGACCCTCTTAAAAACACAATTGCATATTAATTATTGTACATTTCATCCTAGGCTCATCTTTCTCTATCTTTGTCTCATTCAACCAGCATATGTACAACTTTATGTACAATAAAAGAATATATCTTGGTGAAGCAGAAAATCCATCCTCTTTACAAAATGTAAAGGAAATCTGTAATGACATTTGAACGTCGAATGGTATGATATTTCCGCAAAGTAAATCAAAGTTGATGTTAAAAAACCATAGATGGATCATATTGTACAGTTTTTCTGTGTAAACAAATAGAAACTAAAATTCAAAATGAAAGAGGTACAATTCATTTCAAATTAATGAAGAATAATTAACTTAGCCGGAGGTAGAAATAGAGAAAAGGAAGGAGCAGATAAAATGTATGCCGCGCCGTCGCCAAAACAATGTCATTCAATAATTATATTAGTCATGAGATTGGTTTCATGACTTCCCTTTCCAACCTCTCAAAGTAATAGCAAACATTGGTCTTGAAAAATTGGAACATAAAAGGTGCATAAGCGCAAAGAAGTAAAAACAATTCGCACGAAAAATGTCGACCGAATATACAGAGTAAGTAGGAAAAATTAACTTGTAAACTATAAGAATATTAATATATATAAATCCACAGTACCATATCTAGCTCTTATATAAATTAATCTCCCTGCACATATAAAAAGTAAATATGAAAGTGTGGAGCAATGCAAACACTCAGGAATAGCTAGCTGGCAAGGTATAATAGACAGCTTACTTGCGTGTATATATACTATATAAGATGATGAAATGAAATAATTAATAAGGCAGTGGTTGTGTACTAGGAAGTGCCGCCATTGTGTTGGTCTTGGTCATGACGATGAGGTTGGTGATTGGGGAGATGAAAGAAGGCAGGAGTGGGATTGAGGGCATGAGTAGTGAAGGGAAAATGATGAGGAGCCGAGGTCCTTGCTGACGTGGCGGAGCTCATAAGGTTGAAGCGGTTCATCAACTGCTGCTGCTGCTGCTGCTGTTGTTGTTGTTGTTCATCACCAAGAGTAGTAGTAGTAGTAGTAGTACGGCTATCCATCATCTCCAAGGGCGTGTAGGACGGCGGCGGCGGCATTAACGACATCATCGTCGGCTGATGACGAGCATCAGTAGCACTAGTGTCGTTGCAGAGCGCCAAATAGGAAGGATGCAGCAGCGCATTACTCGAAGCCATATGGGTGGCGGTGCTGCTGCTGTTCCCTAATCCCAGCATTGGCTGTTGTTGATGAGCATCCCACTGGTAGAAGCGCGGGTTTAAGAACATCCCACCACCACCACCACCGGCAGCAGCAGCAGCTTGGCGTCCATCCTCGTTGTTGTTGTGGTCGTCGTCATCCTCGTCCTCGCCACCGTCAATATCATCATTCCCGATACTGGTCTGCCCCAAGGACATCATTGAGGAGGTGGAGGAGTTTTCTTCCCACTGCCTCAAAGAGTTGTAATAGTTATGGTTTGGAGTGGTGGTGGTGAAATCGAACAAGCTGGGGGCGGGGTGCAGTTGTTGGTGGTTGTAGTAGGAGAGCGGCGGGTGGTGAGGAGCGAAGGAAGGCGGGAAGTGGAGCGGGGGAAGGTTGTCGATGTCGTCCTTGGTGTTGTCGATGAGCCAGTCGATGACTTTGCTGGGCTGCCCGACCCCGAGCCGGTCCTGGAGGTCGTAGAGCTGGATGGCGGTGGGGACGGAGAGCCGGATTCTGCGGTCTCTCAGCCCTCTCACGGTGCACACTTTGCTGTGCCTGTCTTTCCCTCCCAACGACCGACACACCCTCACTATCCTCGGGTTCCTGAACGCCGACCATCTGCTGCTGCTGCTCGCGCTTGCTGTTTGGGCTGCTGCATTGGCATTGCTGCTGCTATTAGTGTTGTTGCCTGCAGCTGCAGCATCTTCTTGCTTGGCTTCTACTTCCGCACCCGACTTCTCTCTTCCGCTGCCGCTGCCCCTTGCTATCATCCTTGCTCAACCCTCTCTGTCTTCTCAACTACTCCCTGCCATTAGTTATACATCTTCTTAATAACTCCACACTGCCAAATTACGATCATTAGCTGCTTGCTTTTCTTACAATCACGTGTTTGAATTCTATTGTTGATGAATTCCTTTCTCGATCGTATGCGTATATATATTATGCAGACGACACCGCAACTTAGCTAGCTAGCTCAAGAATTTATATTACATGTATGAATACAAATACAACTTTACCAAAAGTGAGCCACCAAGCTAATTAAGCTAGGGATCGATCTATGTGAGCATGAATAATTACCACAGCAAGTACAGTATATATATATATATATATATATATATATATGCATCTAGGGCTAAGGAGATCGAGACTCAACTCTATATATGCATCTAGGGTTAAGGAGATAGATTGAACACAAAATTTTCCATCTCCAGCCGATTGAAGTCTGGAAAGTGCTTCAAACGGGAGTTCAATTAAACGGTCTTTGAGAGAGACAACTATTGATACAAAGGGGGGAATTAATTATCAAGGAAAGCAGATATTGGGAGTAGAGTAACGGAAATGGGGAATTATCATATATCATGCCAGAAACTGAAACAAGGCCTACCTAGCTAGCTAGCTAAATTCCTTCAGCGCAGGATAAAGAGTAGTTCAAATGAGGACTTACATGCAACAAGCTAGCTGAACCCTTGCCTATAGTTAAGTTTGTGTTGAAGCTAGCTAGCCTCTTCTACAAACTGGCGCAACTTTCGTGCTCCAAATTGCTCCGTGATTCTCTTGGAGCTAGGCTCAAGAAGGAGGGAGAGTTAGGATCAAGAAGAACAAGAGAGTAAGGAGGAGACGAAGAGGAGGAAGAAGAAGAAGAAGAAGAAGAAGAAGAGAGTAAAGAGGAGGAGAAGGTAACCAAGGAGATTCAAAGGATGAAACATCAAGCGACTTTTGAATTGAATTGCTATCTTTTGGAATTCTCTTAAATATATTGCTGATTTGTTCGTGAAAGTTCACTTCTTCGAGATATATAATCCAAAAATAAAAATGAAGTTGAGCTTCGTCATTGGCTTTTTGAACAAAAAAAATGTGTGGTCCAGTTACAGCCATACATTATTCTGTGTTCTTATTTCGACGCGTCTTCTGTACGCACCGATAAAATAGCAAATAAAAAAAATATATCATTCCTTAGTTCAAAGGGAATGGTGAAAATAAACAAAATTAGGTTACTTCCTCAATTTTACTTTTCTCTAGATAAAATTAGGTTATTTTATTTTCACTTTGTAGGTATACGATGGTCAGTATTGATGGGCCGGGACCATATATATAGATATATATCCGGTGCTTTTTGAACAATTACAAGTGGCTTTATAAAGTTGTTATGCATGCCTAGCTAGCTCACTTGACAACCCACGGAAAAGGACCAGGGAACGAAAGTAACTATTCTTTGACGATACCCTATGTGAATGTGAGTATTTGGGTAGTACAATGCTTACAAACTAAGTTTCAGTGACCAGAAAAGTGTAGCAAAAGGAAACAATTGTAGTACCCACTCCAATAAGTTTTTTCATGATATACATTTTTATTATATTTTGATAATTTTATCCATCTTCAAACTTTCTCAGTTTTTAACTTCATTATGATTAGTAAGCAAGGGGAGTTCTATGGTACCTTGGGCGAAATCCGGGGTACCGCATACCTTAAGTAAGAAAACGTTATCTAGAACTTGAATTGACTGATCTTTCGGACATTATACTATACTCTAACCCATAAAGATCAAAATCTAGGTCTTAATTCTCTAAATCTTATACCCAAGATCAATTTAATTAGAAACAATAATCGACGGTTATGATTCGTCCAAATATAGGCAAAAAAAGTAATGCACCATCTTAGGGTTTATAGTTTATGATTTAGATAATTAGGACCTAGGGTTCACTCATTAAGGGTTAGGGTATAGTATCATGCCCAAAAATCCTGCTAATTCGAGGTCTAGATAGCGTTTTCGTACTCAAGGTATGCGGTACCCCGGATTTCACCCGGGATACCGTAGAAGGCACCTAGTAAGCAAACATATATATATGTATTTACCAAAAAACCAATCATAGCGACTTTGGATCAAGAAGTACTTGGCCATTGGCCAAAGACCAAGAAATCACCACTCGATACATCTAATATCGTCACATATATAATAACATTCTTCAAACATTATTGAATAATGAATATGAATAACGCTTTTTATATTTTATGTGGATTCTCATGTTAACTAGTATTTATATTCCTGCATAAGCCCATTTTTTGTAAAGGTGTTCCATATTTTATACCTAAGAAAATAAGTGACACGTCTAGGGACAAATGTATGATCATTATGTGAACAAACGTATGTAATGGTTGTAATTTTATTATATATATGGTTAATTATAACATACAAATACAAGCGATAAAGTTCAAAACTTTGATGCTAATTCAAGTGTACAATTAAGTAGGGTGCATGCTAGCACTGTGAAGGTCATCTCTTTTTTTTTTCATATAGATAATTGTGGGTGTAAAGGTTTAAATTCAGGGCGTGGTGTGCTTTATTGGTTTTACACAACCATTAGGCCAAATACTTTATGTAGAAACGATAATTAGGTAAGCTAAAAAATGAAATAACGTAATTTGAAATTTTTTTTCCTTTATTTCCAAACCATTTACATACTTTCAGTAAATCAAAGATATGGCACATCATAAGTAAGAAAATGTATCAAGACCGCATTTATCGGAGTTTAGGACATGAATACCCTAATTCTTAAAAAAATGAAATTTAGGTCATAATTGGACGCACTAGATTTCGATCTAGTGGTAATACCACTAGTTTTGAACCTGGAGGTCATAGGTTCGAATCCTTTAAACTTTACCTAATCACAAAAAGTAAACATTTATCACCCTTATAAAAAAGATCATTTTAATTAGAAACAATAATCGATGGTCGTGATTCGTTGAAATCCATCCAACAAAATATATCCACCATCTTAATTAGTGTTTAGACTCTATGATTTGGATAGTTAAAACAAAGGGTTCAGTCTTCAAGTGTATGGATATAGCATCATGTCACACAGTTTAGTTAATTCAATGTTTAGATAACGCTTTCACATCAAAATATGTGTACACTAACACTAGAGTTACCCTAAAGTACCAGAGAATACACAAAATATATATGTATGAATGAACTTAGCAACTAACAGTTCCTCATCTTGATGAAAGATTCTGGATCTGATACCCTGCAAAAGATCCTTCTATTCACCCTTCTGAAACAAAAGAGAGGAAATTGAAGTGAAACTTTTTGTGGGGTACTTGTTCTATCACCATAAGGTATCTAACTATCCCCATACAGTAGAGGGAGTTAAATGGTTTCTCAGAGAATTGAATGAGATAAGTCATAGTCAAGTGGGTTGACAATAAAATCGATATAAATTTTTTGGTGAAATATTCCAATTTCTTAAGAAAAAAGGGGTTTTGATGTGAGAAATATATAGAAAGATATATATCGACAGACACAGTTAATAATTAGCTAGCTACATGCAGAAGGTAGAGATGTAGAGGGGGTGGACCAGAAGTAGTGTTGCTACATATAGCAATAGGTTGTGTTTAAAGCATCACTCTTACTTTCTCACCAATACTTTGGAGGAAAACAAATGAATGTTGGACCACTGGCTTTGTCATGTATATATATATTTGCCCCACACACATATTGGTGGCATGCACTGCAGGCTGCAGTGAGATCTCCTGCCCATAGCAGCAGAGGTTGCCCACTTCAACACAAATCTAAGGGTTAGTTCTCAATTCTCCAAATTTAATTTTGGGATTGCTATCATGAATACCAACTGAATCTTTAGTCCGAGGAATTTCAAGTGAAGGGTTTGATTCCACAAATAAAGTCGTCTTTGAACCTAAAACCTCTTTGATTAATTTAGGAATGCGTTAGAATGATTACTCAAAATTGAGTAATCACCTCTTTGATTAATTTAGGAATGCGTTAGAATGATTACTCAAAATTGAGTAATCACCGTGGCTACTAAAATCTACACCTTTTATTATCTCTATTTCATTTTAATTTTAATTTGACAGTGAAGATTAGATTAAGGGTAATTTTGAGAATGAAAAAATACCACAATTTCTGTATATTATATATCTAAACCCTACTCCAACCCCATTCTCTATCGCCGTCAACGCCTCTCCTATTAGTGGTTCCCTTCCTCCGCTGGCGGCGGCCGTACTCCCAAAGCCGACCACCCTCGACCAACCTCCCACTGTCGGCAGCCACCCCTCCACTCCGGCTACCCTCGCCCACCGCTGCCTTCTCTCTCTCTCTCTCTCTCTCTCTCTCTCTCTGGGAGATGGCTGTGGCTGGAAAAGGTAGGATGAATAAAAACCCTAGATCTGATTTTTTTCGCATTGGTAGTGATTTTTCCGCAGTGGTAGTGTTTTTTAACATTGGTAGTGATTTTTTCGTAGTGGTAGTGTTTTTTCGCATTGGTAGTGATTTTTTTGTAATGGTAGTGTTTTTTTGCATTGGTATTGTTTTTCCGCATTGGTAGTAATTTTTTCGTAATGGTAGTGTTGTTTCGCATTGGTATTCTTTTTTTCGCATTGGTATTGATTATCATGTAAGTGTATTGCTTTTTAGTGAAATGGTAGTTTTCTTTTTCTGTAGTGGAAGTGTTTTTCACATTGTTATTATTTTCTCTTTTTTTTTGCATTGGTATTGATTATCATGTAATGGTATTGATTTGCATGTATTGATATTGATAAATCTGCAATGGTATTTTATTGTTGCAGCGGTATTAGTTTGGCTGAACAAAAACAAGGAAAAGATTGAGAAAAAAAAGAAGAGAGATCTGGCAGGAGATTGTGGAAGTGAGAGAAAGAGAAAGAAAATTTTAATTAATATATTTTTGTAACTTCCTAAAATGTAATTTGTTAAAAAAAGGTAACTAATAATTTTTTTTTGTCATACCGAGTTTGCCCT